GAACACCCCCAGGAACACCCCCAGGAACACCCCCAGGAACACCCCCAGGAACACCCCCAGGAACACCACCAGGAACACCCCAGGAACACCCTCAGGAACACCCCCAGGAACACCCCCAGGAACACCCCCAGGAACACCCCCAGGAACACCCCCAGGAACACCCCCAGGAACACCCCCAGGAACACCCCCAGGAACACACCCAAGAACACCACCACCCCACTTTAACAACCCCGAAACACCCCCACCCCTGATGTACAGAAATAGGTCTCTGTTATGTGTTCTCATGTTCTCCCATGTTCTCCTTCCAGTCTGTGACGCGCAATTGTTCTTTTTGTTCTCCTGCTGTTCTCCATGCACTTGTTACCGTGGCTGATGATCCTCTCCTGCTTGTGTAGTAATACTACCACTCTTACTGTAGCTGATGCTGTTAATACAACAAATACAACAACTACTACTACTACTGTAGCTCTCAGTAGTGGTACAAAGGGCCGCAGAATACTTGTGGCAGTGCTACTTGCACCACAGCTACCAGTGCTGTTGTCTGAGTGGGAACGATTGGGGTGTAGTCAAGTATTGTGTGGGGGACGTCACAAGTGGAGGCCACGATTTATGAACCTTTGGTAATAGCTGGCGCATCCTTGATCCCGGCGTCTGCCTGTCTGTCTGTCTCTCTGCTTCAGCAGATAGCCTCGGCGTCTGCCTGTCTGTCTGTCTCTGTGCCTCAGCAGATAGCCTCGGCGTCTGCCTGTCTGTCTGTCTCTGCTTCAGCAGATAGCCCCGGCGTCTGCCTGTCTGTCTGTCTCTCTGTCTCTGCTTCAGCAGATAGTCTCGGTGTCTGCCTGTCTGTCTGTCTCTCTGTCTCTGCTTCAGCAGATAGTCTCGGTGTCTGCCTGTCTGTCTGTCTCTCTGTCTCTGCTTCAGCAGATAGTCTCGGTGTCTGCCTGTCTGTCTGTCTCTCTGTCTCTGCTTCAGCAGATAGTCTCGGTGTCTGCCTGTCTGTCTGTCTCTGCTTCAGCAGATAGCCCCGGCGTCTGCCTGTCTGTCTGTCTCTGTTTCAGCAGATAGCCTCGGCGTCTGCCTGTCTGTCTGTCTCTGTGCCTCAGCAGATAGCCCTGGCGTCTGCCTGTCTGCCTGTCTGTCTGTCTCTCTGCTTCAGCAGATAGCCCCGGCGTCTGTCTGTCTGTCTGTCTCCGCCTCAGCAGATAGCCCCGGCGTCTGCCTGTCTGTCTGTCTCGATCGATAGCCCCGTTCCATCTGCCTGTCTATCTGTTTTAGGAGTGTAGGAGGAGTCTGCTACACACAGTCTGTGTGGCTGTGGGCGTGCCGTGGGCGTCTGTGAGTTTAGACTGATCTCTAAATAGCTCAATTACATTAGTCTACGACGTAATGCTCTAATGTATCCCCTGTCTTTGTCCACACACTTTACACTTTACTTCATCCAGGTCCCCATACAATCAGAACTGTCAGAGACACTTGTAGCCATGTTGTAATGCGAGCTGTGACAACATCTGTTAGTCTGCTGATGTTGTTACGTGAGCCATACACCTGTTTTATTTGACACATTTTATTGTGATGAACAATGGATCCGCTAGTTCCAGTTGGCACTGTTCTCTTGGCCCTTGGTTGGTTACTGGTGGTTAACCGGTGGAGTAGGGCCAGTACAGCTGGCACACCTGTTGAAGGATGCATCTGGTACACCTGTTGAAGGATACATCTGGTACATCTGTTGAAGGATACATTTGGTACATCTGTTGAAGGATACATCTAGTACACCTGTTGAAGGATACATCTAGTACACCTGTTGAAGGATACAATTGGTACATCTGTTGAAGGATGCATCTGGTACACCTGTTGAAGGATACATCTGGTACATCTGTTGAAGGATACATTTGGTACATCTGTTGAAGGATACATCTAGTACACCTGTTGAAGGATACATCTAGTACACCTGTTGAAGGATACAATTGGTACATCTGTTGAAGGATGCATCTGGTACACCTGTTGAAGGATACATCTAGTACACCTGTTGAAGGATACATCTGGCACATCTGTTGAAAGATACATCTGACACACCTGTTGAAGGATACATCTGGCACATCTGTTGAAGGATACATCTAGTACACCTGTTGAAGGATACATCTAACACACCTGTTGAAAGATACATCTGACACACCTGTTGAAGGATACATCTGACACACCTTTTGAAGGATACATCTGGCACACCTGTTGAAGGATACATCTAGTACACCTGTTGAAGGATACATCTGTTACACCTTTTGAAGGATACATCTGACACACCTGTTGAAGGATACATCTGGCACATCTGTTGAAGAATACATCTAACACACCTGTTGAAGGATACATCTGACACACCTATTGAAGGATACATCTGACACACCTGTTGAACGATACATCTGGCACATATGTTGAAGGATACATCTAACACACCTGTTGAAGGATACATCTAGTACACCTGTTGAAGGATACATCTAGTACAGCTGTCGAAGGATACATCTGACACACCTGTTGAAGGATACATCTGGTACATCTGTTGAAGGATACATCTAGTACACCTGTTGAAGGATACATCTAACACACCTATTGAAGGATACATCTAACACACCTTTTGAAGGATACATCTAACACACCTATTGAAGGATACATCTGACACACCTGTTGAAGGATACATCTAACACACCTGTTGAAGGATACATCTGACACACCTGTTGAAGGATACATCTGACACACCTGTTGAAGGATACATCTGACACACCTGTTGAAGGATACATCTGACACACCTGTTGAAGGATACATCTAACACACCTGTTGAAGGATACATCTGACACACCTGTTGAAGGATACATCTGACACACCTGTTGAAGGATACATCTGACACACCTGTTGAAGGATACATCTGACACACCTATTGAAGGATACATCTAACACACCTGTTGAAGGATACATCTGACACACCTGTTGAAGGATACATCTAACACACCTGTTGAAGGATACATCTGACACACCTGTTGAAGGATACATCTGACACACCTATTGAAGGATACATCTAACACACCTGTTGAAGGATACATCTGACACACCTATTGAAGGATACATCTGACACACCTGTTGAAGGATACATCTGAGCGTTCTAATTGACCTAACTTATTTGTTGGCCAACTCATACAAACCAAAATTTGTCAACCAATACGACATTTGGAGTTCAAAGGCTCATCAACCAATTAAAAGCTTCCTACATAGTTACCGGAGAAATCGTTTCATAATTCACGTATTTTCATGTAAGATTTGTTTAATATATATAGTGAAAATCACACTAGCGTGATGGATCTATAAATGGATAGTGAGGTTGTATAAAAGACTCGAACTCGCGGCCTTAGTGCGTGTCTAAGGCGATCAGAGACTGACGGTTCGATCCTGTCAATTTCAATAGTCATGTTGACCAGACCACACACTAGAAATTGAAGGGACGACGACGTTTCGGTCCGTCCTGGACCATTCTCAAGTCGATTCAATAGTCATGTTCGGTCAAGGGGAGCCGGTCGGCCGAGCGGACAGCACACTGGACTTGTGATCCTGTGGTCCCGGGTTCGATCCCGGGCGCCGGCGAGAAACAATGGGCAGAGTTTCTTTCACCCTATGCCCCTGTTACCTAGCAGTAAAATAGGTACCTGGGTGTTAGTCAGCTGTCACGGGCTGCTTCCTGGGGGGTGGAGGCCTGGTCGAGGACCGGGCCGCAGGGACACTAAAGCCCCGAAATCATCTCAAGATAACCTCAAGATGTTTAATATGTTTGGCAAATAAATAATTACAAAATGGAATGCATCAGATGGCTTCAAAAGTGGGTTGTGGAAAGTGTATAAGTGTGGCGTGACTTAACAAGTGATCTACTACAAGGTACACAGCCTGTCGTTAACCTACACAAGCGACACTTAACGACAGATGGCGCGCTATATCACCAAACTTTGACGCTTATATATAACGAAGGAGACGAGTGGCACCTCCGCTGGACATTCCACGATTGCAAACAGTTTAAACAACTTATAAATAGTAACAAATGATTTTGTAATATGCTTTTTTTATTATTTACATGCAGAGCTTGCGAATTAGAACAATAAAAGAAACACAGAAAATACAAAACACAGAAGAAAAAAAGAAAAAAAGTACAATACCACAGGCCTGAAGGGCCTACAACCAAACGCCCACACACAAAGGAACATAATGACACTAAACAGGAAACAGGCATAAAACAGGAAACTCAAAACTCAAACACAATACATGACATAGGCCACTTCAGCACGGACCCACAAACAGCAACATACAAATACAATACCCAAACAAGATACACGAGACATCAAAGTACCCAAAAGTTACAGACAATGACACGAAAATCACAGGAAAGTACAAAAACACTGGAGAAAAAACTAATGCTTATAACCACAGGCCCGACGGGCCCACAGCATCTGGGGGCTGAGGGCCGACAGCATCCGACGGGCCCACAGCATCTGGGGGCTGAGGGCCGACAGCATCCGACGGGCCCACAGCATCTGGGGGCTGAGGGCCGACAGCATCCGACGGGCCCACAGCATCTGGGGGCTGTGGGCCGTCAGCATCCGACGGGCCCACAGCAAGCACAACAATGGGAGGCGAAAGTAAGAACGCCACGCCTACACCTACTTATATACTTATCCGTGAAGTCTTCCACAAGAAACCTGAGACAGTAGGCCTCCCAAATAAGCCTCATATGACGAGGAGGAGGTTCACGAGGGCGCGCCACAACACCCGGAGCCTTGGACACGAAGACATGCTCACTAGGAACCCCAAATAACGGACGGGCTCAGGGGGGGGGGGGGGGGAGCGGCGCAACCCGTTCCCAGAAGTAGATTTTCTCGTCATTAATCTCGGCTACAACGGACTGGTCACTATCACTACAAGACTGGTCTTCGTCGCCAGACACGACACCCCTCCACGGCCCAACCGCACACCAGGAAAGGGGTGGCAACACTGGGGGCAGCACCATTGGAGATGGCGCCATAAGGGGCAGCACCATGGGAGAAGGCGCCATAAGGGGCAGCACCATGGGAGAAGGCGCCATAAGGGGCAGCACCATGGGAGAAGGCGCCATAAGGGGCAGCACCATGGGAGATGGCGCCATAAGGGGCAGCACCATGGGAGAAGGCGCCATAAGGGGCAGCACCATGGGAGAAGGCGCCATAAGGGGCAGCACCATGGGAGAATTCGCCATAAGGGGCAGCACCATGGGAGAAGGCGCCATAAGGGGCAGCACCATGGGAGAAGGCGCCATAAGGGGCAGCACCATGGGAGAAGGCGCCATAAGGGGCAGCACCATGGGAGAAGGCGCCATAAGGGGCAGCACCATGGGAGAAGGCGCCATAAGGGGCAGCACCATGGGAGAAGGCGCCATAAGGGGCGGCACCATGGGAGAAGGCGCCATAAGGGGCAGCACCATGGGAGAAGGCGCCATAAGGAGCGGCACCATGGGAGAAGGCGCCATAAGGGGCAGCACCATGGGAGAAGGCGCCATAAGGGGCGGCACCATGGGAGAAGGCGCCATAAGGGGCAGCACCATGGGAGAAGGCGCCATAAGGGGCGGCACCATGGGAGAAGGCGCCATAAGGGGCGTTACCATGGGAGACACGTCCAGAACAACATCCACGGGTCTGAACACCGGCACAGATCCCCCACGTTGTACATCCTTCTCCAGGACCATCACAAGGCCCCGGGCCGCACCACCCGCCACAGGAGGAGGAACCACCCCCTATAGCGGAGAACCCACTGCAGGAGAGACAGAGGCCAACTCAGAGGCACCCACACCGGCGCCAGCAGCAGGCACATGAACCTCCACAACCACTACAGCCCCAAGAGCCACCCCGTCCACATCAGCAGACTCGCAAAATTCCCCCACGTCAGCCTAGGCAGAAATAGAGGAATGTCGCAAGCACTTGGGATCCGGCTGCACGTCGTCAGAGCCGGAGGCAGAACCCGAAGGACGGGAAGGACAGGGAGGACCGGCCCCAACACAGCAGGAGGCCCCGACTCTTCACCACCCCTCAGCATGGCCGGTGAAAGCGGCATGGATGCAGAGACAGGAACACCAGGACAACACAAAATGGCAGGTGCTGAAGACGGAAAAGACGGAGAAGAGGACTGCACAGCATCTGGCGCATGAACCCCACCAGGAGCAGGCACCCCATCCGACACAGGACACTGCACGGTAACCACGAACTCGTCCACACACACACCCGCCGGGTCCTCATCCACAGCGAGCAGCGGGAAATCCTCATCAAGAAAAAGATTAACCTGTGTGACGACATCCACCAAGCAGCCAGCAGCCAGGTGGCCCGACAACCCACAGTGGCAGCACGTGCGAGGCTGCCTTGTGTGGTAGACGCGGATGTAGCAGCCCATAAGCCTCGCCGAGGAAGGGATGTCCGCAAGCACCGCATCCCCAAGGTGCGGATACTCGTCCGTACTCACCGGAGTTCCCCAGAGGAAATCATATTTAACCTCACACTCACGACAGCACCAAACTGCCGAAAGTACCTCCGTAACAGCTCCTTCGGAAACTCAAGGGGCGCACCATGAACGCTGACGAAGGTGAGGGCATCACTCCGGTCGGAGACAACCACCGAACCAACAGTGTCCGGTAGTTGAAACGACCGCTCTTCATAGCGGCATAAAAACAACTTGTAATCCTCTGCATCAGCAAACTTCACCACAACCCGGTGAGACGAGACGAGCTTCACTCCAATGATGGCAGCCACGCTCACACGCAGCATTTCACACATCACCAGGTCCAATGCAGGGTAATCAGCCCGGCCACTAAACTCCAGGCCCACCGAATGAGCCCCGCAAAATGGGGGGGAAGGGTACCCCTCATTACACAGGCCACGTCAGCAACCACACCCAGGGTCTGCACGACAGCGTACAGCGCACTCCCCCAGCTCAATGATTGCACAAATCAGAAAACAGAAATGAAGCCAATCTGTTGGATCCGCGCCATCATAGTGAAGAGAACGACCTCAGAATAACAGTAATTGGAATCCAAAGCTGCAGTGTACCGAGGCGAAAAACAGTATATATATAAAATGATAAAAGGGCCAACAAAACTTTCATTGTCGGATCTTGAGAGTTTACACTAGATAAATGCTTCCTTCCCCTTGTCCACATCCTTATCCTGATCCTTTCCTAGTGCTATATAGGCGTAATGGCTCGGCGCCTTATCCTGATATTTCCCTTCCCCTTCCCTCACTCTCCAATTCCCAGGTATGCTTCTAGTCTGCACTCTAAGAGTAATGCATGCAGTTTGAGTGTCTATATGGAGTATATCATGAATGACGTCGAGCAGCGGCAGCAGCAGCAGCAGCGGCAGTAGCAGCAGCAGCAACAGCAGCAGCGGCAGTAGCAGCAGCAGCAACAGCAGTAGCCACAACAACAACAGCACCCAAGATAACAGCCAGACACAACAACATGAATCCCTCGTTAGTACCACTGACTTTATTCCGTAATAAAAGACGGAAATGTGAATTAATTCCAGTCTTGAAGACAGTCAAGAGGCAGGACAATTTGGCTCCAGAAAAGTACTCTTCACTCTCCCGGTTGAAATAGTTTTTGAGAAAAGTTGTTAAATTATGGCAAAGCGATTTTGCTGCAATGAAGCGAAATATTTAGTTTAATAGGCAGTTAGGCGTATGTAACGGCTTGTTAGAGAACATACTTGAGAGTAATAGTGTATGTACTTAGATAGATGGTTGGGTAAATATTAGTTTCTTAAGTGTGTGACTTACATTGATGGTGCTGTTATAGACAAGAACCTCGTTTAGATCCACTGGGCTGTTGAAGCGTGCGTGTGGTAAGCAAGCGCGCGCGCGCGCGCGTGTGTGTGTGTGTGTGTGTGTGTGTGTGTGTGTGTGTGTGTGTGTGTGTGTGTGTGTGTGTGTGTGTGTTTGGATCCACTGGGCTGTTGAAGGGTGCGTGTTTGTGGGAACGTAGCCGGCGTGTGTTTGTAGGGGCTCGGCAATCATCCGTGTGGTTGATGCTTGTATTCACCCAGCTGTGCGTGTTGAGCTTCAGCTCCTGGCTACCACCTCTCAACCTGAGCATGTCTGGTGGAGTTTACCCCAACACCCTTCAGCTCTATATATCTGCTTTCTGTCCCATGGACGGAGTCTGCCGCCAGCATCTGCTGTCTGTCCCATGGACGGAGTCTGCCGCCAGCATCTGCTGTCTGTCCCATGGACGGAGTCTGCCGCCAGCATCTGCTGTCTGTCCCATGCACGGAGACTGCCGCCAGCATCTGCTGTCTGCCCCATGGACGGAGTCTGCCGCCGCCATTACACTGAAGAAGTGAAACGAGACGTGGCAGAGGCAGACGCCATGAAAGGCTGCTGATAAAGCTGTTGTGTTCAGGCGTCTGCTTTTATCTGCTGCAGCTGTGTGGAAGTTTAGCAGCCCCTCCTACACTGCCTCTCCCCCCCCCCCCATACGGCGCTGTCTGCCTCCATCATACATACATATATATATATATATATATATATATATATATATATATATATATATATATATATATATATATATATAATATATATAAAGCGGAGTTAACCCAGAAAGTGACAGGAGAATGTGCAGCAGGTCGTGTGTGTACTTGACTGACTGTGCTAGAGGGCCCCGAATGTCACTAGTGTTGAGAACGTTAACAGCGATGCCGCAGACAACACAAGTCACTCACAATCAATCAGTGGACTGCTGCTGCTGCTGCTGCTGCTGCTGCTGCTGCTGCTGCTGGTGGTGGCTCTGAGTGGCTCTCTGTGCCATGAAGGTCGCAGCCCACATGGGCGACGGCTGGCGTCCACTCACTGCAGCTCCAAGTTCAAAGTCCATCCTTGAAAAAAAAAAAAAATGGAGAGTGCGTTTGAGTATTTTACTCCCCCCGGGGGGCGCGCGCGTGCGCGTTCGTTAAGGCGCGAGCTCGCTTAATATCATTAGTATCAGTTCCCCAGGTGTTTGATGTGTGGCCGAGAGGGGGGGGGGAGGGGAGGGAATTATCAGGGGAAAGCGCCAAGGCATTACGATTGTATAGCACTGGGAACACTCTGTGCACTGGCCATGCACAGAGGGCCACACACAGAGGGGCCACACACAGAGGGGCCATACACCGAGGGCCATACACCGAGGGCCATACACCGAGGGCCATACACCGAGGGCCATACACCGAGGGCCATACACCGAGGGCCATACACCGAGGGTCATATGATCAGTAAATGGCACTCGCCATCTTTGAACACATTTGCGAGGACATCCTCACACACCTGAGATTCAGGTGATAAACAATAAATAATTACAGGTATATTGAGAGAGTCTTGGAGCCCACCTGAGCGTGTATGTATACACGCGAGGTGCATCTGTGGGAGATGAATTAATCTACCTCAGATTCTGCCTATCTACCCGGCCTCCATGTGGCTGTGAGTTACACTTATCTACCCGCCCCTTGCACCTGTATCTACCTCAGCTGTTCATATCTACCTCAGCTGCACCTATCTACCTCAGCTGCTTCTCTCTACCTCAGCTGCACCTATCTACCTCAGCTGGCCCCTATCTACCTCAACTGCACCTATCTACCTCAGCTGCCCCTATCTACCTCAGCTGCCCCTATCTACCTCAGCTGCACCTATCTACCTCAGCTGCCCCTATCTACCTCAACTGCACCTATCTACCTCAGCTGCCCCTATCTACCTCAGCTGCCCCCTATCTACCTCAGCTGCCCCTATCTACCTCAGCTGCACCTATCTACCTCAGCTGGCCCCTATCTACCTCATCTGTACCTATCTACCTCAGCTGCATCTATCTACCTCAGCTGTACAACCCAAGCCGCCTTGTCTCACGCAGCACAAGCTAACAATGACGGTATTAATTCTATTAATAACACAAATGAAGTCAATATCTGCTTTAAAAGCCTCGCCATTATTTAAAGTTCAGGATGACGTCATGTACAAGCTGAGCACTTTGTAATTTACGTATGAAAAGTGGCCATGTGTGTGTGTGTGTGCTGGCTCCGTGGCCATGTGTGTGCTGGCTCCGTGGCCATGTGTGTGCTGGCTCCGTGGCCATGTGTGTGCTGGCTCCGTGGCCATGTGTGTGCTGGCTCCGTGGCCATGTGTGTCCTGGCTCCGTGGCCATGTGTGTGTGTGTGCTGGCTCCGTGGCCATGTGTGTGTGTGTGTGTGTGTGTGTGTGTGTGCTGGCTCCGTGGCCATGTGTGTGTGTGTGTGTGCTGGCTCCGTGGCCATGTGTGTGTGTGTGTGTGTGTGCTGGCCCCGTGGCCATGTGTGTGCTGGCCCCGTGGCCATGTGTGTGCTGGCCCCGTGGCCATGTGTGTGCTGGCTTCCCATCATACCAATACCTGATCAACCAGGCTGTGACTCATACGTCAGGCTGCGAGCAGCCGCGTCCAACAGTCTGGTTGATCAGTCCAGCAACCAGGAGGCCTGGTCGATGACCGGGCCGCGGGGACACTAAGCCCCGGAAGCACCTCAAGGTATCATGGAGCCCCCACCTAAAGCAACACATAAGGAAACTGGAAAAGGTTTAACAATTTGCGACGAAGATAGTCCTGGAGTTGCATGGGATGGGATATGAAGAGCGACTGAAGGAACTGAACCTGACGACGTTAGAAAAAAAAGGTGGGAGCGGGGAGATATGATAGCAGCATACA